GGGGGGGGGGGGGGGAGAGGTGATCCCTGCTGCACCTCTCTGCCCCGTGCTGCTCTGCAGTGAGCCCGCAGGAGCCCCAGTGGCTGCTGTTGATGCTGGTGAGTGCGGGGCTTTGTTTTGTTTTGTTTTGTTTTGTTTTAAAGAGCTGAGACACTGGGGCTGAAGGAGTGGGCAGGGGATGGGGTGCTTGTGGCAGGACCCCCATGCAGCGCGGGGCAGCGGGGGTCACCTCTCCGCCTGCCTGACAGGAGTTGGTGAGTGCAGGGCTTTTTTTAAAGAGCCTGAACACTGGGCCCAGGTGGGGCAGCCATTGATGGGGCTGGGAGAGCGGTTGGGGGGTGTTCAGGAGGGTGGGGATAACAGTCAGGGAATGGGGCCTGGCAGGGTCTCCTTCCCCTCCTCCAGCCCCCACTCCCTACCCTCTACTTCCTGGCATGGAGCCTGGGTCTGGCTTTCTGTGGCGGTGAGCAGGGACTGCCCAAATCGTCGAATCTCCAAATTCTTCTCCAAATCTTTTCCAAATTGATTTGGAGTCTTTGAATTGATTCAGACCTTTTTATTGGTCTCCTGATTCAGTTTAGATGAATAGATTTCCGTAGTTGGAAGGGACCTATTAGATCATTGAGTCTGACTCCCTGCCTCAGGCAGGAAAGAGCACTGAGGTCAAGTGACCCCAGCCAGGTGCTTGTCTAATTTCCTTCTAAACACCTCCAAGGTAAGGGAAAGCACCACGTCTCTTGGAAGCCCATTCCATATTTTGGCAACTCTCACTGTAAAGAATTTCTTCCTCATGTCCAATTTAATTCTACTTTCCCTTGGTTTATGGCCATTGATTCCAGTAACTCCGAGGGGCACCCTGGTAAACAGAGTATCCCCTATTCCCTGCTGACCCCACCCCAATGAGTTTGTAGATAGCCACAAGATCACCTCTCAGCCTTCTCTTGCAGAGGCTGAAGAGATTCAGGTCCCTCAGTCTGTCTTCCTAGGACTTACCTGCAGGCCCTCAACCATATGATTTCATAGAAGTTAGGGCTGGAAGGGACCTTGGAAGATTGAGTCCAGGCCCCTGCCCCAAGGGCTGGAAGTCAGCAGGGATCATAGCATCCCAGCAAGATAGACATCCAAATGTCTCTTGAAGGCGTTCAAAGTAGGTGCTTGAACCACCTCCGGTGGCTGTCTATTCCAGACCTTGGGGGCTCGGACAGTAAAGAAATTCTTCCTTATGTCCAGCCTGAAATGGTCATGGAGGAGTCTGTGACTGTTCAACCTTGTCATCCCTTGGGGTGCTCTGGTGAACAGATGTTCTGCCAGATTCTGATGAGCACCTGTGATAAACTTATAGACGGCCACCAGATCACCCTGAGCCTGCGCTTTCCCAGGCTGAAGAGCCCCATAGCTCTCAGCCTCTCTTCATAAGGTCTGTTTTCCTGACCTCTGATCATGCATGTGGCTCTCCTCTGCACCCTCTCAAGTTTCTCCACATCCTTTTTGAATTGTGGAGCCCAAAACTGGACGCAGTACTCCAGCTGCAGCCTCACCAAGGCCGAGTACAATGGGAGAATGACGTCCTGGGATTTGCTTGAGAAGCATCTATGAATGCAAGCCAGTGTTTTGCTCACTTTACTAGCTGCAGCATCACACTGAAGGCTCATGTTCATTTTGTGGTCAATCATG